TGGTTCATTGTCACAAGAAAACAGTGACCAAGAGCAGTTCCCCTTCAAGAGCTGAGCCTCTTCATCTCTCTGCTATTGCAGGCAGCTCCCAGGAGCTCCCTCTCCAAGCAGAGCCTCCAGCTGAGCCTGGATCTAAGTGGGAGAAAGCCCAACTGAAACCCAGGTCACTTCCTGGCTTCTTCCTTCACCTGACATGAGCTCAGCTCACTGACTTCATTCAAAGAAGACCGAGATGACAGCACCCTTTTATTCCTCCTTTTCCTGTATTTCCACTTTCCCCCAGTCTGCTCACATGATTGCACAAAAGGACCTTTTCTCCCCTCACCTGCACTTTGCTTATCGCTCTCTGCTCAGTTTGTTTCTCCATCAGGGGGAAGGCACCTCAAAAACTCCCAGGAGCTTCTCACGAGCACTGGTCCTGATACAAGAGGGTCTGATGATCTCAGTGCTACCCCAGGAATGCCTGATGACCAGTCACCCCACAGCCCCAGGACAAGTCTGGCAATGCTCTCTGGGACTCAGCCTGGGCCACCGGCTCAGCAGATGGAGCTCCTTCCCAAGGATGTGGGCAAAGCGGCACTCAGCATGCAGTGGGATGCCGTGGCCACTAGCAGCAGCACTTGGACGCTGCGTGCAGGCTCAGGAGTCAGAGAGAGCTCTGAAATAGGGAAAAAGTTGATTTGGCAATGTTTTTTTCTACTGTCTTTGGAAGGAGGAGTTTGTTCATACAAGAGGACAGGAGTGGATCTTTCACTGCCTGCTCCTATAGCAATGAGGAATGAAAGATCTGTGCAGTAAACTCTATTTCTTTCCTGGTGTTGAGGGACTGGAGTTCTATGGATATCAAAAAAAACCAGGTAATATTTTTGCTCTAGACCTGAGCTGGATTTGTGAAACTCCGGGGGGCTTATGGCACTGTCAGGCTTGCACAGGGTAATCAGCTTTGCAGCAGCACCCTGTGCAGGCAGAAGTGAGCAGAGTCTGTGCAGCCACCTTCACACTGAGGTGAGCTAAAAACCCTCCAGGCATCAGGAGCCATGGGGAGCACGGCAGAGCCCCTCAGATCAGGATGGCTTCCAGAAATAGACCTGCTCAGAGTGGTCTGGTGAGTGTGAGCTGGTGCGGGTCTCTCCATGTCGCTGGTGCATCCCTGCAGGATACAGCCACAAGCCCCCCCCAGCAGGTCAAACTCTGCTGCTGATACGGGGTTAATGTAAAACAAAATCCTGTTTCAGCCTAAGGATCTGGGGAGATCCCCATGGGCCAGGGGCCAAGGTGGTGAGGCCAGTCATCACCCTTGCTGGAGCTGTCAGGAATTGCAAAAAGCCCAGAGCTGGGGTGAGTGGTGCACTCAGCACTGTGGCTGATATTGTCCCTTTAGGACAATATTTCCAGGTGGAGCAGGGTCCTGCACCACTCCAAGAGAGGGACTCTGACTATGTCCCTCCTCTCCACCTCCTTGTGTTGCTCCAGGTGCTCCATAAGTGCTGGCTGCTGGTGGCAGGGATGCTGGTGCCCTTGCGTGCACCACATGGACTGCAGAGTGTCCTTGGCAATGTCACCTCACCCTCTGCATCCATCCCCCAGCCACTTCCACCTCGTGTTAAGCCTTGTTGGCTTTGTAGCTAATCTGTGGCAGCTCATAAGATAACGCTGGCTCTCCCTCCTTGGCTGCAGTGATAGCAGACACTTCTTTTCTCACATCATCTATATGCACAGGAAAAATGGTGAGCAAACCTCCCCCATGCCCCTTTTAGTAATGAATCCCCCATACGACACACATGTTTGCCAGGCTTCTGTGAGAAATGAGAGCTGATGGGAATTGCATTCTACTTTGTGTGTGTTTTCTGTTAAAAAGGTTCATTTTAAACATTCTGAAAGGGCTTGGTAAATGATTAATCAGTTCTTGCAGAGTTTGACAGGGCAATAGTTTGTTTATGACTTATTATGTTTAGCTATCTATGGTGCTTTCTACTATGATACATTGTATATGCTCCCTTTGAGCACCCGAGAGTGACTGGTTAGTGTCTGATAACCTGTAACAAAAAGAATTTCAATATAGAAAACTATCCCTCTATTTAAAGAAAGAATTGTCTCCTGATGGGTTCCTTGATGAGTGATGGTCTCCTTGCACCAGCAGGTAGGTAAACATCTTGGATTGGTGAAAATCTGAGGATTCTGTCACGGGGGTTGCTGGGGACAGATTTGGTCTAGAGGAAGGAGACTCTGGGGGAAGGTGCACTGAGGGATTTAGGTGTGTAGCTGCCCTTCGAGCTGGCTGACGTGTTTCATCTCTTGAAACTCTTGAAGCTTCTGTTTACCTGTAAGAGAGTCTAAAGTCCTGGCTCATTTTCTGCATGTCACGGCACTGGATATGTCAATGTTTAATCTGTGCATGCTTAGATCCTTGGGGTGAGGAATCCGGGCTTCTTTCAGCCTGGAGGACCAACAGTCCATACCAGATCCATACCAGACCTGATCAACCAGCCCAAATATAACACAACAGTGTCTGTATCCCTGGGACATCTGGCTTTCAGGGCACTACAGGAGCATTTGTGCCATCCTTGCTTGGAAGCACTTGCACTCTGTGTGGGTTAATAAAGTACTCACTGGAACAGAGAGGCTTTGCAAGGACCAGTTAGTCACGGGTTAGGAACACTGTGATGCCATAACCCCATGAATGGAGCAAGGGTAGGGCTGGATCTGGACTCTGGGTCACCTCTGTGCACCCTCTGTCAAGAGTCCCTCTCATCCCCCCTGGGCAGCAATCAGGCTGCCAGCTAGGTCTGCAGATGTTTAAGAATCTCATGAGATGTAAGTCCTGAAGGATAGAAGGGCAGCTTCAGAAATTCCTTTTGCCTGGTGCAATCTATCCTGGGAGTCCCAGCTTCATGCTGTGCTGACTCCAGATGTGCCAGTGCCTGCACTCCCTCTGACCACCCACACCTCACCTCTTCTCTGTGAGGGGCAGGGCTGGAATACCAACTTGGCATCCCACAGGAGTTAGGAAAACCCAAAAGACCCTGGGGACAGGACAGCTTGGCTCAGGAGTCCTGGCTCCCTCCTATTCCACTTTTCTGCCACTGGTCTTCTGCTCCTGGGGAAATTGAGACGTTTAAAGCAAGTATCAGGGAGTGAAATCACTACATAGAAAGCTTGGAAACTTTCTTCATGTCCTTTACTGTTGTAGAGATTTTTGAGTCATGATGTCCTTGTGTTTTCGAGTTTTTTTATGTGTTGTTTAATATTTACAAAAAAAAAAAAGGAAAAGGGATAGCCTATCTTTCTGTTCCTTGTTTTTTTCACCTTGGAAAATGGTGCAGCTCATTTCAGAGGAGACTTCTGTCTCAAGGCTGTTTGGGAGGGAGAAAGGAGGAAGGAAGAAGGAGAGGAAAGCTCCAAGGTCGGCAACTGAGGACCGACACAGCATATAAAAATCTCTTCAAAGTGAAAAGGTTCTTTTGCCAAAACACAAGGGTTTCAGTGTAAACCACCTGAGCTGGATTCAAAGCCGTGTCAGGAGCCAGGCCAACACAGGGGAGGCTGCCGGGTCTGAGCTGCCAGAGTGCCCCAAGTGCATGTAACCCAGCCTGCTCTCCAAAACCACCGCTGTCCTGGATCACCATTTTTTGGGGGCAGCAGTAACCTCCCTTCTCTCACTTCCCTATGCCAGCCAGGACTTGCCTGGGAATGCTTTTTGTCCACTCCAGCTCTTTTTCTCAGCAAAGCCTTACTCACCCCAAGAATGCATTACAAAAACCAGCCAGGCAGCTAAGTTGGGCAGTTGGGGATCTGCTCTGATCGATCCCAAAGGTGGTGACCTCTGGCATTGTTAATGGCTCTCTGGGTGGCTTATCATCTCTGTATACTTAGATACTGATGTCATGGTGACACAGGTAAATACACCCAGCACGTATTGCTGGGCACAGCTCGGATAAGCAAGCTGGCTCTTTTCTCACCTTTCCATATAGGCTGCTCCTGCAAATTTGCATCCTGGCAGATCACACAGATCCCAGGATGGGGCCGGGGGAGCTGTGAGCCCAGCTGCACAGAGTGTATTGCCTTGAGCCTCCAGCCTCAGTTTCCTCTGCCTGTGTTTTTGTTGGCAGTGGATACTCAGCTGTGCAGCACAGGCTGGCTTGGTGATGCTTGATACAGCTGGAACATGTGTCACCTTCTGTGCATATCTCAACAAAACAGGGTTTTAATATAGTCCTGGTCTTGCAACAACTTCAATTTAACCTGTCCTCAAGCTCTGTACCAAAATATCTTCCATCCCTATTGCACTGTAGTGTCTTGCCTGGCATAAGCCCAGGAGCTAGAGAATTATAATAAATTAGGACAACTGAATTACAATAAAAACCAGATATACATATGTAGGGAAACATTCTCTTTTGCCCCTGCCAGGGTAAGAGGGGCTGTCCTGGGGTGATGGCTCTGAGGTAGCATGGCAGGCTCTGCCCAGCTGCCCCAGAGAAACACATCCCCACAAACCCACATCTCCATGCAGCTCAGGAAAGGAACAAAGTGCAGGGAGATAAAACATCACTCACCAGCTGCATCCCCAGAGGGTGGTGGGGAATAGCAGGTGAAGCTGGAGACCTCAGCGCAGCATTTCTCTGTCTGAAGCAGAGAAGTTGTGGATAGGAGGGGAAATCCAGCAGCTTATAATTAACGTAAAAACAGATCAGCTTGTGAAGTCTAGCCTGTACGCTCAGGTACCAGGAACTTCCCCTGGCCCCACTCGCCTCCAGGCTGTGGTCTGACTTTCATCCCTTCATCCTTGCTCTGCAGGATGCAGTGAGGTTGCAGCCAAGAGAGGGTCATGGGAATCCTGGCACAGATCTGCTCCAAAAAAAGCTCAGCCCAGCTGCCAGCGAACAGGCTGCCACTGGAGAGCAAAGTGAGCCAGAGCCACAGGGCTGCAGACAGAGCAGAGGAGCTGCGGCCCTCAGTAAGATTTAATTGGGTTTCTTGGTGTTTATAGCCCTTTGTTTCATGAAATAACATTGCAGATATGAGTGGCCAAGCTTTGGAAAGGAGGCTGTGAACACCTGCCTGCAACATCCAGGATTTCCTGTCCACCAGTTGGAGTGAAAGAATTCAGCAGCCAAGTTTCTGCAAAGCAGTCATGGACAGTCGGGTTACCCACCGCCTGGGAAAACATGGAAATGCTCCAAAGGGTGCTGCCAAAGAAAGGCCTGAAAATGTCATACCTGTGAAGCAGAAGCCCTCCAAGGAGCTGAGGCCCATGCTCGGGGCCATCTTGCTGGGCCTCATGCTGTTCATCGCCGTGGTGGTGGCCTGGTGCTACTACACGGTGTCCCTGCGGAAGGCGGAGCGGCTCAAGACGGAGCTGATGGACCTGCGGGCGGACGGCTTCGTCATCAGGAACCAGCACGGGGAGGTGGTGTTCCGGCTGGCCTTCCGCTCGGGCAGCCTGGACCTGGAGTCGTGCTCCAAGGAGGGCGAGATCCTGAGCTGCACGCGGTCGAGCCGGGGGCCGCTCAACTTCTTCATCCAGACGGTGAAGCCCAAGGACACGGTGATGTGCTACCGCGTGCGCTGGGAGGAGCTGGCGGCCGGCCCGGCGGTGGAGCACACCATGTTCTGGGAGGATGCCCACTGGTACGGGGGCTCGGAGATGAGCACCCAGCACTGGCCCATCCGCCTGGCCGGCTACCAGGAGCCCGTGCCCTACGTGACCAGTGACGTCTACTCCTTCCGCGACAGCTTTGGCGGCATCCTGGAGCGCTACTGGCTCTCCTCCAAGGCGGCGGCCATCAAGATCAACGACTCCGTGCCCTTCCACCTGGGCTTCAATGCCACTGAGCGCGCCCTCTTCTTCCAGGCCCGCTACAAGGACTCGCCCTACAAGCCCCTGCCGGGGCAGCCGCCCTTCCCCGAGCTCAGCTACCGTGTCTGCGTGGGCTCGGACATCACCTCCATCCACAAGTACATGGTGCGCAGGTACTTCAACAAGCCCTCCAAGATCCCTGCTGAGAACGCCTTCCGATACCCCATCTGGTCCACCTGGGCACTCTACAAGAACGACATCGACCAGGATAAACTCTTGCGATTTGCCGAAAAGATCAAGAAGTACCGTTTTAATTGCAGCCACATAGAGATCGATGACATGTACACCAAAGCCTATGGGGACTTTGATTTTGACCCTGTCAAGTTCCCCAACGTGACGGAGACGTTTGCAAAGCTGAGGGAAGATGGGTTTAAGATCACTCTGTGGACTCACCCTTTCATAAACTACAATTCCTCCAATTTTGGTGTGGGGATTGAGCGTCAGCTGTTCATCAAGGAGCCGTCAGGGCGGCTGCCAGCCATGGTGGAGTGGTGGAATGGCATTGGGGCCATCCTGGACTTCACCAACCCAGCAGCCCGCGACTGGTTCCAGAGCCACCTGCGCCAGCTCCGACACAAGTACGGCATCTCGTCCTTCAAGTTTGATGCGGGTGAGACCAGCTACCTGCCCAAGCAGTTCAGCACCTTCCGGCCGCTCTCAGACCCCAGCATCTGGTCCCGGCGCTACACAGAGATGGCCATCCCCTTCTACGAGCTGGCCGAGGTGCGGGTGGGCTACCAGTCCCAGAACATCTCCTGCTTCTTCCGCATCATCGACCGGGACTCCGTCTGGGGCTACGAGCTCGGCCTCAAGTCCCTCATCCCCACGGTGCTCACCATCAGCATGCTGGGGTACCCCTTCATATCTGCCGACATGATCGGAGGGAATTTTTTCCCCAATAAGACAAATGGGGCAGTGGAGATCCCCGACCGGGAGCTGTACGTGCGGTGGCTGGAGCTGTCGGCCTTCATGCCCTCCATGCAGTTCTCCATCCCACCCTGGCTCTACGACAAGGAGGTGGTGGAGATCGCCCAGAAGTTCACGGAGCTCCACGAGTCGCTGGTGGCCCCGCTGCTGCTGGAGCTGGCCGGGGAGGTCACCGACACGGGCGACCCCATCATCCGTCCCATCTGGTGGATCTCGCCCCGCGACGAGGCCACTCACAGGATCGACTCCCAGTTCCTCATTGGGGACACCCTCATGGTGGCACCTGTCCTGGAGATGGGCAAGCAGGAGCGGGATGTCTACCTGCCGGCGGGCAAGTGGCGCAGCTACAAGGGGGAGCTGTTTGAGAAGACCCCAGTGCTGCTCACTGACTATCCCGTTGACCTGGACGAAGTTGCCTATTTCCTCTGGGTGTCCTAACATGGTCCTCATCAGTGTGCAATGGATTCAGTGATTAATTAACCAACAGCTTTAATGACCTGTGAATTGGTATAGTTTTTTACACAGGAACACTTCATTATGAAATTTGAAGAAAACATTGAGACTTCTGGTTTTTTATGGAGCAAGTGGTGCTCCATAACTAATTAATATATATTGGATGAGTGTCTTTGTTATTGCAGTGTGACAAGTGCAATGTATAGAAACACAGTCTCTGCTCATAATCTTTTCCCACCAAGAAATGCCATGCACGCTTCTTGTTTATAAAGGAAATTACATGGACTCCTTTGTTACCCAGTTGCACAGCTGATCCCCTGAGGTATTTAAAATTTCATGTGCTTAGTGAAGGAGGCAGCTGCAGCAAATTACTTTTTTTTTACAAAAAGCAGTCTGTGGTTGTCCTGAAGAGGAAGGCACCCAAACTGCAGCCTGCATGACAGATGGGAACTGATGCAGGCGTGAAGAGGAGTTTACACTTCCCATGGCTATCTGAGTAAGGAGAAGAAAGCTGCAGCACTTGCTGTATGCTGTGGCAACTGTTTTCCCCCTTTCATAAATTATTGAGAATCATGTCCATGGTGTGGATTCAGGTAAGCCTGTAAATGTGGTGAAATCTCATGGTAGTAAAGATTAATACATAGTACCAAGTCAGGGTTTAGACTTGATAGTGCTCCCATGTGTGTTTTGGGACCATGTTTAGAGCCAAAGGGTGCAATCTGTCAGGTCCCAGGGGAGAACTTGGCCTCCTCAGAGAGTTCAGACAATTAACAAACCAGCCTGAGTGCCCTGCTGCCTCAGTTTCCCCATTGAAAATGTTCTCCCACCCTGTGCTAATGGAGATCCCTGTCCATGAGCCGGTATTCTGCCCACACAGGTGACTTCTCCTGAGTGAAGGTGTGCCAGCAGCTCCTGAAGGCTTGTGGTAGGCAGGCTGTCTGTGAAATGCTCTCCACTCTTGGTCCAGCCTTCCCTGCTGTTTTTAAACAAACAAAAGCTTAAAGATGACACATCTGAGCAGTTTGGGAGAGCCCAAGAGTCTCTGGGATGCAATGTGCCTTCCCAAAATGAGAGACAGATCTCTTTGCTGACCCCAGCACACTGCTTGTAGGTAACTGGGAGGTAAAGCTCTTGTGTGGCCCCAGGACAGGAGAAAGCTCCCTTCTTTAGGGGTTTGTCCCAGAGCTGATCCATACAAAAGGTAAACAGGGGCTGGAGAACATCACACTCACTCCAGGGCTGGTTTGGTGTCCAGGTGAAGCAGCCCCAAAACTGGCTCAGACTCCTGTTACCCATCAGGGGGTCCGTTGTACCGAGAGGACTCTGCGTGGGCACAGTGGCACAAGAGCAATGCCAGATGTTCTGGATGAGCCAGAACATCTTCTAGATGCCCCTGAAAGCAGCTGAAGCTATTGCTGGTGTGGCTGAGGGGAGGGACAACCCCACTTTAATCCAGGGATGTGAAAGGGAAGGCAATGCTCATCAGTCTGCCAGTTGTGTTCAGAGTTAACAGGATATCTCTGAATCCTTACCGTAGGCTTTCTTCTACTCCGGGATAGTAGTTTCCAAGGAACGCATCTCCCCCGAGGTTGAGAAAGTGTTTCTGAATGCTACTCTGTTGCTGCTTTGAAGCCCCAAGGAGTCCCTGACATATGAACCAGGAACAAGAGGGTCCTGGAGGGGCCCAGCAAGATTCCTCTGGCTGTTGTTGCTGTACCAAAAAAAAAAAGCTTTCTGCAAAGCTGATGCCCTCGATGCTGAGGAGAGGTGGGAGAGCCAGACTCCAGCCCCCTCATATGGCACCTCTGCCTGTGTAATCAGTGTGTTCTGTATGCACACACAGCTCTGCCACCCACCTGCATCACAGACTGGGTGGAAAAAATAGGCACCACTGAGACTTTCTGCAAACTCTGGAGATGACATGAGATGCCTGGTACCATGGCTGCAAAAATGCCTCCCCCATCCCTTTCCAATCTTTCCCCCAGTGCTTTTCCCTGCTGCCCACCCAAGCCACAGGGAGCCATGGGGGGTGGGTGCTGGAAGCATCCTGTGAGCAAGTGGCACCACAACCACCTCCCAACACCCTCCTGCAGCACCAGGGCTGTGTGCTGACAGAGGAACATCTTGTTTGCCTTGCTAAGCTGCAGTCCTGATTGGTTTTTTGCACTCCCAGTGCTGAGCAAGAGCTCTTTGCTGGAGGTGCTGGTGACATGGGACTCTGCCCCAGCACACAGCTCACCACAGTCTGCTTATTTTTTGGCAGGGGCAGTTTATTGCCCTTAATCTTTGATGATCACTGAGATAAAAACCACCTAGCCCTCCTGGCAACATAATAAAATAAATAAAAATCTCTGTTTTTCTCTACTTGGCCTCTGGGATGTTGCATCAGCCCAGACCATCTTTTATGACTCTCCTGGCACAAGACATCTACAGGCTGGCAGCTCCCACCAGGCTCGGGACGAGCTGAGACTGAGGAGGTTGTTTTTTTCCTGAGCTGCCAGCCTGGCCACATGCCCTAAAGGTCTCTGCTGCCGTCAGTTTCTCCTTCTACCACGGTCCTCCCTAGCCCTGGGGTCTGCCTGCGTGTTGTTTTTTTCTTAGTTTTAATAAAAGCTGTTATTTTGAGCAGCATGGACATGCTCACAGCTAGGATCTCATGGGTCAGCACCCACTGCTCTGCTGTCACCATAGGCACCTCCTTGAAATCCAGTTATGAACTGGGCTTTTGCTTTAGCCTCGGTGGTGTTTCGACTTTGCCATAAGCACTCCCCCCTGTGCAATACACAGCTGTGGATGTGTTTTCAAGCACTGCCATTTTAGCTGGGATGCAGCACAGAGCTGTCCCCACTTGCCATCCCCGTATCCCCGACGAGCCTCAGACACCCTCTCTACACACAGCACCAGCTTTTGGGAGGATGCAAACCAAACCTAAACCTAAAGCACTGATTCCAAGGAGGACCTCTGCATTATTGAGGATCTGCTGCAAGCCTGTGACTGCTGCAAGTTGCCAAGGTCTTCAGCAGGGCCAGCTTCACCCTCCATGTAATCATCAGCAAAGTGTATGGATGCCACTCACATCCAAGGAAGAAGTTAAAGGAACGGCATTGGGAAAATGTCTTTTATTGCAAAAGGAGTGAACTGAAGTTCCTCTCATTTCTTAAGCCATGCTGAATGTGTTGGCCAGGGCTACTGATGCCTGATGGCACAAGGCAGCTGTGGTTTGTGCAGTTAACAATGGGAAGGGAAGGAAAAACATTATGTGGGGCAAAGGGGGATGGTGTGGGGTAAGGCAGGCTCCTAAATGAGCTTCACGTGCTCCATTCCTGGGACTTTCACAGCCACAAATATCTACTCCATCCCCATCCTTGCTGTCAGTGCCATCTGGAAAAGGGAACCCTGGGCAGTGGGGACAGCCAGGGCCCAGAAGGACCTTCTGGAGTGCCCGAGGGGAGCTGAGGGCAGGCTCCTCTTCTTCATTTCCTGCAAACAATCCCAAAGTATGTGTCCTCTGAGAACAGTGTGGACTAGTAAACCCCCCAGAGTCAGTGTTGATTAGCCTTTTTTGGGTGGATATCAGTAAAAACGGGCAAGACAGTATGGGCCCCACCCCCGGGGTTGACACAACATCAGGGTTTTCCTGGATGTGGTCTTTTCCAGGCCACCCCTAAGGCACAGCTATTTTCCTTGCTGTCAGGACCTAAGAGAGGGCAATCCTTGATCCAGTGGGATTGTCTGCCACCACAGTAAACACAACAGTGGGGTGACTGCCAGCTCCTCCTTTTAAAACATACACCAAAGCTGCAGGCTGCCAGCTTTAATTAAAACAACAAAATCTCAACTGTGATTTCAGTGACAATAAGGGTAAAAAAAGCCCCAGATACCCGTGAACCACCAGCTGAAGCAACTTGGTCAAGAAAAACATAGTTAAACTTCTTTTTGTTTTCCAAAATTTTATCTCAATCAGGGTGATTCATGTTACAGTTCATACCAATTAAGAATTACAAAAGTGGTTAAAAACAGACCCATCAGCATTACAGTCTGACATAGGACAGCATGTGCAAACACAAGCACCCAGGAAACCCGATACACAATAGTGCAAGCTTCAAACTTCCATCACATGAGCATCGCATGTGGAAAGGCTGAATCCAACTCCCAAACCTGTTTTGGGGCTTTTCCATTGCTGAGACAAGCTAATTCTTGCTTTGGCCAGTGACTCATGGTGTAAATCAGAGAAATCCCCCTACCAGCAGTTCTCAAGGTGTCTGTGCAGAGCTTGTGGTCTACAAGGTCCAAGAGATCCTCAAGTCCTGCAGTGCTACAGCACAGTGTTAGAAGTAGTGGTTTTGGTAAAAAGTTGGATGGAAAGGGCACCCAGAAGCCTGAGACACCTTAAGGCAGCACTGCTGAGTCTATCCCCAACACCAGCCCTTACATCCTCTCAGCAGCTTTATCCTTCCTCTGCTGAAATCCTGAATAGCCATACAGCATTTAGAAAAAAAAGGGTACTGTATAATCTTACCCAATTATGACAGAGTTAAATAAAAAGAAAACTAAAACTTTGTTAATAAAAGCCTTTCTTTTGAGGGGAGGGGAAAGAAGACAGTGTGTCTAATGGAGAATTTCCTCCCTGACCTCCCTGACAGTGCCTGATACCACTGAAAGGAGATTGAAGGCACTCATCTGGCTGCTCCCATCATTTTAATAGCAGAGGGATGCTAAGAGGAACTCTGTGTTTCTCTTCACACAGTCTCATTCCTTACTAGCGAGGGATGTGGTGAGTGGCACAGAAACGGGGGAAGAGAAGACATGCAATATCTCCTGGGATCCTTCCCATGAAGTCCTATGCCAAGGATCCCACTTCTACATTGGCAGCTGAGCTGTGCAGCAACACCCCCTCCACCTAATGACTCCCACACCAAGGGATGACAAGTATTTCAGGTTGAAAGGGAAGAGCTGGAGCCTATCAAGGCATGACCTTTATGAATTTCTGGAAGTCTCTCCACACCCTGTCCTCCCTGTAGGCTTTGGCCACACTCATCTCCAGGAGATCCTTACCTTCACCTCACCCTCCAAGCAAGGCCCAAGTCCTGCTAGTGCCCTGATGAATGATGCTGAGATTCCAGAATTAACTCCTTGCCAGAAGGAATCTGTAACTGGTGCTGTAATCATTCTTTGTACTGGTGGTGAGGAACAAGCTTGAGTGCTTCAGAATTACAAGCCTGAGAAACAGGCTTTGGAACATACTTGTGCTCCAGCTGGGCAAGGACCTATAAGGCTCCCCTTACATCTCATTTTGAGGCTGAAACACCAAATTATGCAGGGCAGATTCAGATCTTAAGGGATGTTCCAAAGAGTCCTTCAAACCAGACTTCCTCCCTTCCTAACTATAAAACTAGATTCAGATTTTGCCCCTAACACCTAAATTTCTCCTCCTGGATTCCACCACAACCCCCAGGTTTAGTGCATCTCTTTTTCTGCCTCCTGTAAAGCCCAGTGGTAGGAGACATACTTTGAGAAAGATCCTCACTGGTACTCAACCCTAACCAAAACATGAACCATCTCCCTCAGTGGCAGACTCATGCTGGACCTATGCTCAGCCCAGATACAATCCTAGGAGAAGCCCCAAGGATACTGAGCTGTCCTTGGCTGGTGCCCCAACCCTTCCCAGCCATTGCAGTTCAATTGCTTCTGCGGAAGCTCATTAAAAATTCAGGGGCTGACACGCGTTCCCAAACCAGGGCACAGCCGGGAATGTCCTGCCTTAGGGAGGAAGGCTGCCAGACTTCAATCCTGCTCGCTCTGTCTCGAATCTCCATAAATGTATCTTTCCGTATAAAAGCAAATGGGGAATCTGTGAAAGAGTCATCTCTGCAGCTGCAGGGGACTTTGGGTGCAGGATCACATCACCCCGTGTCCCCTCCAGAAGCCTCTGACAGCAATCCCACCTCTGCTGCCTGAGGAAGACCCTTAGGATCCTTAGGACTCTCCCAGAGAGAGAAGAGGGCTGACTCAGAAAAACCCTCACCCAAGTCATCACCTCCAACCGCGACCTCAGGCGGGTGTTGGTTTAATTTCACCTCAGATGAGAACGTTTCCGTGGGCGCAGTGAGAACACCCGCTGGCACAGACCCTTCAGTCCAGAAAGCCGGTGTTTTCCACCCACGGGCAAGTCGGGTAGCAGCAAACCTCCCCGCCAATCCCGGACACGTGCTGCTCGCGGGAACCGGCTGTTCCTGGGGACGCGCCACACTCAGTGCTTGAGAGCGGCTTTGCTCCAGGCAGTCCTTCTGCCAGCAACAAACCTCATCTGTCCTTAAAAACCAAAAAAAGGATGGCATCAGCAGGATAATCACGTAACAAAGCGGTTTCATAAATGTTTAAAAAAGACTGATGGGACGCGCTGGTATGGGCAGCGCCGCTCTAGGAACGGCAATGTTGATGCCCAGGGCAAAATACAAAGGCAAGAGCCTTGTACAGGGTGTCAAATGGGCGAGGAGGTGGGATGCAGCTGTCCCAGCGGGCAATAAGCAGCCCATAAAATTAAAACACATTGAGTAAACTGGTCTGCTTGGTAGCCAGGAAAGCAGGAGCACAGGGCAACTGTTAGTCCAGTGCCACGCTAGACAAAAGGGGTAAAAAAATATGTGTATATATATATATATTTTTTTTTTCTTTCTGTTTTTAAAAATATCCTTTTGAATATATTTGCCATAATTTAAAACTTATGGCAGGCTGTGCTGCAGCAACCCTCTCACACTACACACCCTCATACCCACTGCCAGGTGCTCCCACAGAACTAGAAACGCTACCACTGGCACTAACCAACCTCCACATCCTGAAATCCTTGGGAACTGAAAAGGTATTGGGTTTAATAAGTGTCTGCAGACAGACTGACAACTTCTTATTGATCTGTACAGAGAAATTTGCTGCCTACTGTTATCCAATCAGAGTTTCCCAACTGACCCAAATTAAAAAAAACAAGATCAATCCCCAAATAAACAAAAAAATTATCCCCAAGAACAGTGAAGTCTATATAATTCCCCTCCTCCACCCCAGTCTCAAATGAAATGTGCAATTAGAATTATTATCTGTTAGAAAGTCCTAGGTAAGGCATGGTTATTCAAAAGCTGGGGAAGAAGCCTGTTAGGACACCCAGAGGAAATAGGCAACTTCGTCCAGGTCAACGGGATAGTCAGTGAGCAGCACTGGGGTCTTCTCAAACAGCTCCCCCTTGTAGCTGCGCCACTTGCCCGCCGGCAGGTAGACATCCCGCTCCTGCTTGCCCATCTCCAGGACAGGTGCCACCATGAGGGTGTCCCCAATGAGGAACTGGGAGTCGATCCTGTGAGTGGCCTCGTCGCGGG